CACCTTGTATTTCTCACGCAGAGATTTCTTTCCAGGGTACCGCCCACCAAGTTGCGCCGCAATTTTGTAGGCTTGTTTGAGACGCGAGTGCACTCCACTAGCACACCCCCCCGTTTGACATTCGCGATTACAAGAGGCTTCATGGGAACTTCGAGGGGAGCCAGAAGTGGAGTATATCGTGATATATTATTTTAATTCACCTTATATATATTCGTGTGTGTTCCATTTGAAGGACAAAGTACATTTTTCCTCTTTTAAATATAGCCAATAGTCTTTTCTTCACTTTTATGTGTAATCAAAAGGGTGGTTTCTGTGGTTGAGAATAATACAAATGGACCTTTGACATCTGCTTTGCAGTTCCCAGGACTTTCTGAAGAGGACCCTGAGTCTCTGGCTTCCTGTTAAGTGCTAAAACTATTATTTGGATTAAGCAAAAGCATTTTTCCTCAAAATATAATGCCAGTTAAAGTCCTGTTAAATTAGTGATTCATGTCCAGCATGCATTAGTTAAGAAACGATAGGATTGTTGGGTGATTGAACTGTACGTCGTTTCCTGAAGACTCTTATCAGATCAGGAGATGATTTGGGTCACACACAAGGTTAAAGAGGACAATGCGTCCTTCTGATTCTAAAGTAAGCTGACTTTTGGGGTGAAAGGGAAGTTCATGAAGACCCTTAGGAGCATGGGAACAGTTAATTCTGTTGGTTGACTGATTCGGTTGACTGTCATGGGACGATGACGTTTGGATATTTACAAAATATGGATTTCATAAAGAAAAACATGTGACTGTTTGCTGTGATAAGATACAGATAGGATGTGTGTGTGGTGTTTTTGAAGATGTTTAGGGGGAATGAGTATGGCCTGTCAAGAGTCCTCTGTCATGACTCCAAATCATTGATTGGGTGATCTGCCTAACGGCAGAGGGGACAAACACACAACACACACGCGCACAGAAGCAACCAGATGAATTCAACAAACTGCTGACCCCTACCCGGTCCGCCCAGAATGAAACCGACCAATGGAACACTGCCAACTCACGGCTAGCATCACTCAGAAGTGAAATCGCCCAATAACAAATAGCTAGGGAAGAGCAAGCGATAAAACTCCTTCCCCCACC